CTCTTGGGCTTAAGCAATTCTCTTGCCTCAGCCTCCCAAGTAGCTGGGACTACAGGCGCTCGTCACAATGCTCAGCTATTTTTTTTTTTTTTTTTGGTTGCAGTTGTTATTGTTGTTTAGCAGGCCCTGGCCGGGCTCAAACCTGCTACCTTTGATGCATGTGGCCGGCACCCTACTCACTGAGTTATAGGCACTGAGCCACCTCCAGAAAATCTCATGACAGCAGAACTAGAAGAGCTTACAGCCCAGATTTCTTTAACACATAAGGAAACTAAAACTCTGAAAGAAAGTGACATTCTCAAGGCCACCAAGCCAGTTAGCAGTACAGATAGGGACCAGAAACCTGTATTGCACATCAATGGTTCTTTTCTTGGACTCTTGGACTCTAAATGCTAATACAGAGAGAGAAGGTGATAGAGTGACTCATTCTGTTTCTTGGTATGTATCACTGGTTACTGTTAGTTAAGGGTCAACAAAACACACTGAATGTTACTGTTTTTCCAAGAACCTTTTCATAATAATTAACATTTATATAGTGCGTTAGAATTTATCAAGCTCCTTTATTGTTAAGGGGAAGATTACTACCAACTCATTTTTTACAAATGAAACACAAGTTCAGTGATGGCTCATGCCTATAATCCTAGCACTCTGGGTGCCGGGTGGATTGCCTGAGCTTAGGAGTTCTAGATGACCCTAAGCCAAAGAGAGACCTCATTTCTATAAATAGCCGGGTGGGCTCAGTGCCCATAGCTCAGAGAGTAGGGTGCCAGCCATATACACCAAGGCTGGTGGGTTCGAGCCCAGGCCTGGGCCTGTGAAACAACAATGACAACTGCAAGCAAAAAGTAGCCAGGCGTTGTGGTAGATGCCTGTAGTCCCAGCTACTCTGGAGGCTGAGGCAAGAGAATTGCTTAAGCCCAAGCGTTTGAGGTTGCTGTGAGTTGTGATGCCACAGCTCTCTACCAAGGGCGACATAGTAAGATTCTGTCTCAAAAAGTAAACAAATAAATACAATTAAATTAAAAATGTCAAGCTTTTTTTGGCAGGCACCTGTAGTCCCAGCTAGTTGGGAGGCTGAGGCAAGAGAATCCCTTGAGTCCAAGAGTTTGAGGTTGCTGTAAGTTGACACCACAACACTCTACCGAGGGCGACAAAATGAAACTCTCAACAGAAAAAAAGAAACACAGGTTCAGAGATGTTTCATTGTGGTTCAGAGGTGTTTAGGAAGTGGCATGATTAAGACTCAAACTAGACTGACCATGTCCGTCTCATTCATTGCCATCCCAAAGCCTAGCTCATTGAGGAATGACTAAGTGAACCTAACTAACTTCACTTTGGGTTCTTTAAGTTTTTTGGTTTTTTGGGGGGGGGCTAGGGCTGGGTTTGAACCCACCACCTCCAGCATATAGGGCCGCGCCCTACCCTTTTGAGCCACAGGTGGCACCCTAAGTTGTTGTTCTTCATAAACCTTTTCTACTAGGGCCCTACCACTGGGGGAATTACTTTTATGGCATTCAGTGGAAAAGGTATGTTTACTTATTTATTTATTTAAAGACAGGCTGTCGCCCAGGCTGGGGTATAGTGGCATGATCATAGCTTACTGTAATATTGAATTTTTGGGCTCAGGCTCGGTGCCTGTGGCTCAAGTGGCTAAGGCATCAGCCACATACACCTAAGGTGGGGGGTTTGAATCCAGCCTGGACCCGCCAAACAACAATAACGGCTGCAACCAAAAAATAGC